GAGACCTAGATTGGAATAAGGAAGAATTTTTTTTACACAGAGAATGGTAAAACCTTAAAACGTGTCTCCGCCAACTTTTCCAACCCCACTGCCCTGGGGCTTTGTCCACCAGCGAAGTTGTGGATGACCCATCATTGAAGGTGCTCGAAGTTGGGTTGAATGGGGCTGGTGACAGATGCCCATGACATGGGGTTGGGCCAGAGAATCTTTAAGGATCCTTTCCCCTTAGAGCACAGCTTGCAGGCTCACCCTTGCGTGTGTCACCCAGCCTTGACTTCTGCTGACTGAGGAAAATCACTAGCAGCTGTCTGCTGAGGACCACAGCCTGGAAGAGAGATTGGGTAGGAGAAACAGAGGAGCACAAAGGGAGAGGGAGCAGGAGAAGGTTTGGGCAGGGGAGAGCCATGAGGATTTATCTCCCATCCCTGGTGGTCTGAAGGATTCACTCCACCTCCTTGCAGTTCCCCTGTTGCAGACACATGGGAACTGGGAAAGACTTCTGCTTTAATGTGAATTAACTTATTGACTCTGCAGAACTAAGGGTAGAAGATTGAGAGGAGGAAGTGTCGGGAATGAGCTCCAATTAGGAATGTTGAAACTATATATTATCCTCTGAGCCAGCAGGTGGTGACTGGGAGTGACCTGCAACCCTGAGTATCCCTCTTAGGACCCCAGTGCCCATATCTGCAAGAGTGTGGGACTTGGGGTGGCTGCTTGAGACCACAGAGGGGTTTGGGTTCAACTCCCAGAAGATGGGAGTTGAAGATGGGGAGCAGAAGATGGGGAGGAAGGGACACTCATATTTCCCACCATCCTCTACTAAGGAGAAGATCCCCAAAATATTCAGTTTTCTTCAGAGCTCCTCTTCTGTTCCAAAGCAAAGAGTACTGGTAGCTATTTCTCCATTTCAGATACAGAGTACCTCCCAGCTGCCTTCTGTTCCATCATTTCCCGCCTCACCTCTCCCTGCAGCACCTTCCATTCAGCCTGCAAGAGCCTCCTGAACTCTTTCAAACTTATCTTCCACCCCAATGTTCCTGGGTGGGTGTTCTTCCCAGAACTTCAGAGGCCTGTAATGGCCTCAGACATCACTGCAGTTAAGTAGGACCCACCAGTGGTATAGCCTGGACCGTGGTTGGGACTGAAGGAGAACAAGGTGAAAGCCTGTTAGAAAAGTACAGCCCAGCCATTTGTTTTGATTTGCTAGGAAGATTTGTTTCAGGTGAAAATCTTGGTTGGAAAGGGGGTGGGAAGGCGTCTTCAGCCCCTCTCCACACATGGCGCTTACAAGGCTCTCAATCCTTGATCCCTTGGGGATCAAACCAGGACTCAGAAGAAAAGGCTGGGACTTCATGGAGATGCTATCCTTGCAGATACTTGCACTACTCCCCTAATTAAGTTCCCAAAAACCAAGCAGAGCTTGTCACTTGTGGTGTTCCAGCACTTTCTTCTTGATCTCCACCCTAGTCCTACCAGGCGTCCCACCGCCATCCTGCTGGTCCAGCCTCGTGCTGCCTTCCCATGCTTCCCACCCACATCTCAGGTATGGGGACATGATGACAAGCACAGGCGGCATGGAGGAGACAAGGGAGTGAAGGCAGCTGGCAGCCCACAGCCCAAGCTAATCAGAGAGAAACCGTGACGTAAGGGCAGGGGAAGCGGGGTCCCGGCCTTTCCCAGGCTCTGCTGTGCTCCACGCTCTGCTTCCCTGCCAGTTTATCAGCCACTGGAGCACGACCAAGGGAACATCGGCCAGGACAGAACAAATAAACATCCGAGTTTGGGCTTCCTTCCTTCCTCTGAATAACCAAGAAAAAAAAAAAGGAGGCAGGGGATTAGATTAACTTTTAAAAGATTGAAACAAGTCAAATAAATAATTATTTATTTATGTCTCCATGGGAACATGAAGCATTCCTGGGGACTGGGCAGATCAGCTCTCTGCCCTGACTGCAGTTCCCAAGAGGATTCCCTTTGGCTGGTCCTTCAGTCACCTTGAAACCCACTGTCCAGCATCACTGCGAGAGACAGACATTTGGAGGTGACTTCATCCATGGAAAAGGAGAATTATGAGGAGACAGAGGCTTAAATTAGCTTAAATTATTAGAAAATCCACACGGATTCTCATGTCTTCAACACACAGCCACCTTTCAGCCATTCACAACCAGTGTAGAGGTGTAGTTGATATGAGTTCTGCTCTTAATGCTGTTTATTGCAACAGCCTTGCAGCACAGGGAGCTACAGTCCATGGATCCTTCTCACCTTGACCTTTCTAAAAGGTCCTCCTGGATCATGCTGTGCTGTATGTGGTTTTGTTAAGCTGGGCTGGGCTATATCACTCAGGCTGGCTCAGGTTGTATCACTTTTGATTGGGTTGTCTTTGGTTGCACCATTCAACTTCTGTTGGGTTAGGTTGTGTCACTTGTGTTGGGTTAATGTGGCCATTTTGGCTGGGTTGAGTTGTGCTCCTGAGTGGTGTAGCAGAAATGCTAAGTCACAGCTAGAAACAGTGATTGAGCACCTGGTGGGAAGGCAGGACCAACCCAGGGGAGCTCAGGTGCATGCAATGTATGTGAGTGACCAGAAGGGGTGGAAAGCCAAGATCTGCTCCTTCCCAGACCTCATTTAAGGGCTGGCAGTGGAAGCAAAGGTATTTTGCTGGAGATCACTCTATATCTGTGGCCTTCCAAGGGTAAGCAGACTTTTTTTCCTTGGTTTCTGTGTCCATAGCTGCTGCATTTGCCTACAACTTTAATACTCCTTTGTCATTGCTGTGCTTCCCATCACATTATGGCATTAAGGTGGTAATGGGTTTAGCTGGGCTGGATGTTCAGGTTGGGTGGTTGCACATCAGAATGACACAGTGCCTACACACACACTGGTACTTTTCACTATTTTTGTTCCAATAACCACTTCCAGGAATATCCCCAATTTACTCAGACTTTTTTTGTTCTTGCAGCTTGTGTGGAAACTGCTGTGTTTCCTGTAAAACATTAATTCCTTGTCCGGACCTGCGGAAATATCCTTCAATTTTTGTCAGTGCAAAGCTATGCCTAAAGATTAAACCTGCATGTGCTCTGCACGTCAAGGAAAACACCATTTGACATCAGCACCAGCAATGTGACCTCCAAGAAATCCCGCAAGCGGAGAAGGAATAGCGACGTCTCGCACAAGTCTTTGGAAGGGACTGGAGGATGCATCTGTAGGATGCATAGCAGTGACGTGCTGCTGACCTCGCAGCACTGGTGTGTTGAAGCTGGTGGCCAGGATTGGCAGGGCCTTTCCCATGTGGAGGGCTAATTCTGTACCCTCAGGACCGGACGCGGCATCTCATCAGCAGCACCCAGCTGGAGAAGGGAAGAGCATTGTGTGGGCTGTTGCTTTTTTTAAAAACCACTTATGACCCTGGGAGGAGCATGTGAGCAAGAGGCACTGCTGCAAGGAGCGGTGGAAACTGGGGAAAATTCCCAGCTCCTGAACCTCCCAGGGAAATCCCTAGAAAGCTCCCTGGTGCCCTTTCTCAGCATACAAACTCCTGTGCAGTGGGAATCAGGTGGGACTATAAGCACTGGTGAGCTCCATGCCACCCTCGTTCTTTGAGGTGAAGAATAACCCCATGACCTTGCAGTGTTGCTGTCTACCCCATCAGCCAGTACAGGAAGGGTATGCCCCCAAATCCCTGATCTCTCCCCTTCTTCTGGGTACCCAGCAGCCCAGGAAGGGCCAGTGACAAATTCTCACGGAGGCTGAGATGCCTCTGCTGTGAGCTCAGTGACTGACTAATTCGTTTATCTCCTCTGGGAGCTGCACTGAGCTATTGGGAAGCAGCAGAGCCTTGCCAGCTACTCTGCCTGTTCCAGATGCTTTCCCTATTGCTTTCCTGAAGGGGAGAAAAAAACCCAAAAACTTCCAACCCACAAAAAAACCTTGGAGTACTGAGCTGTGGTGATATGCAATCACTCAGGCGTGGCACAGGAAGAAAGAAGGCTCGGAATGCCTTAATTTTGGAAAGCCCTGGGTGAAAATCCATGCAAGTGTGGATACGGTGCCAGGGGTCAGCGCTGCTCAGGCTGCGTCCCATGTTAGGACAGGGCTGTGCGGTACAGCGGGCTGCGCCACCGCTGCTGAAACCACGTGCTGTCCCGCGAAGTGACATCCCCGATAGAAACAAGCTCGGCAGCTCCGGTGCCACCACACTGCCGCTCTGTGCCGCCTGCGGGCCCGCAGTGCAGAGAGACTCCGTGAGCAGAGCAGCCGAAGCGCTCAGCATCGCAGCCCGCCCTCACGAGCTGCTGCGCGGCAGGACAGAAGGGTCCGGCGGCCGCTATCGGTGGGACGAGGCGGCCCTCCAGCGGCCGGACCGGCACTGCCGCCTGCCTCGCACCTCCCTAAGCGCCCCGCACGCGAGCCGTTGCTTCTCAGTGTGAACATGTGCAGGTGTTACCCCCAAAAGCTGGGCCTCCACCACGCCCACAGCTCCGACCGCGAGCCCAACCCGCAGCCTCGGAACCCAGCGCCGTCGGACCGACTCAGAGCACTGCGCACGCGCGATCAGCGGCCTGCGGTGACTGTCTATCCCGCAACGCTCCTCTCTATGGTCCCTCGGCGGAGCGCTCTGTTGTTCTCTCCGCCCCCGCCAGAGGCGCTCTCCGCACTTCAGGCTCGCTCTATGGCGGGAGCCTTTCTATCACAGCCCTCTCCTCTCTGTGCCTGGAGGCTTTTTGCTCTCGGGTCTTCCTAGCTCTCTATGGTGCGCGGCGCTCTGCACCCCGGCCTCCCACCTATTTATCGCCTCGCTTTCTCCGGCTGTTGGCGTCGAACGCGGCGCTGCGCGTAGCAGCGGGGAGCAGCGCGGAGCCCCGCAGGCACAACGTGCAGCTCCGCCCGGCCGCGTCCCCAGGTACCGCTGAGGCACGCGGAGCGATTCGGTAACAGGGTTCCGCTCTCTGCGGCCGTCCCCGCGCCGTTCTGCGAGGGGCTTTGCTGCGGGGCTGGGCTGGGGTTGGTGCTCTTCTCCTGCCTCGGTGATCGGTGGCCGCGTGGGGTTTGGGTTCGTCTTCCAAAGAAGGTAGAAATGAGAGATGTGGCAGCTGCAGGCCGCCGTCCTCCTCCTGGAAGCGCTTTGCTGAGAGCGGCGTGCAGGCTGTGGGTTGGTGTGGTTCCTTTTTTTTTTTTTTCTTTTTTTTTTTTTCCCCCCTTAGATACGTATTTATATGAGAATGTTTGGCTACTGCTTGTTTTCCAGCTCGGTGTATCTGTTTGCTCAACGCGGAGTTGCAGCTCTTTATCTAAGAGCTTTGAAAAGCGCAGCTCGTTACTGCAGATGCTGATTGCAGAGGTGAAACCACGGCAGGTCGGGCAGTCCCTGTGGTCAGAGACCTGCTGGACAGACGAGGCCCGCTCTTCCTTCCTCCTGCTCTCACTTCTCTCATCTTTACTCTCCCCAGAGCCCTGTGCTGTACTTCTGATCACAGTACATTTGAGTTTTCTGCCTTGCCTGCAGCTCTGCTCAGCTCTGCCGTGGGTTCTGTGCGTGCTCCTGTCTCTCATTCACCAGCTGGTGGATTCTTGGATAAGTTGAGCCAAATATTTTTGGGTATAATGTCTGCATGGGGTCTCGTCTCCCTTTGGCAGAGGGGCAGGGTTGGAAATTGAAGCTCTCCTATCTCAAAGTCAACTTGCCTTCACGTGAAGGGTAGCTTAGTGTCCTCTCCTTCCTCCTGCCTGTTCTTTGTGAATTTGAAGGGAAATCTGGTCTTGGGACCTTGCAGCTGCTGCAATTCACAGGTACTCAGGTAAGGTATGTGTGACATAGGCAACATAAAGATCAGAAGTGCAGCAGGACTGGAGGAGAGAATTATCTGTTCATGTAACTAATTCCAGCCAGGAGAGTGTTGTTAGCTTTTGTTAAACAAGCTCAAAGGCAATGTATAAATTCTCCCTAATTCTACAAATTTTTTAATGTGCTCTTAGTTCTAATGTCTTTTGGAAAGGTTTAATTTATGGCTTCTCTCAGCTGTTTCTGGTGTCTGCTTCCATGAAGAACAGCAGAGAAGCAAGAGGTCTCTGTGATTAGATTAAATATCTGGGTCATTTACCATTACCTGTGTTTATTCTCTGGTAAGCTTTGATACTGGAAGAAGACAGAGATAAAAAAGAACATGTGCAGAAAGAGATAACTATGGCTGGAGCTGCCCCAGGCAGAGGCCTCTTTCTAAATGGATTTATGGATGAACTTTTCCTATCAGTTTTGTGTCCTGTTCGAGGAGATATCAGCTGTGTGCAAACAAGGTTGTTTTTTTTTTTTTAATCCTCTCTCAATTGGTGGATATTCTTGAGATTCAAAAGCCTAAATGGAGTGAGTCATCTTTCTTTCACAAAGCAGTCTTCAAGTAATGTGAGTGTTGACGCTTGGCTTGGTGAGTTAACCCAGTTCTTTAAACTTTGTAAACCCAACGATCCTTATTGGTGACTCCTGGTTCTCTGTAGGTCCTCTTGCGGATTTCCTTCACCTAGTCATTATGTATCAAATTTGGCTAATTCCTTTTCCTATATTCAGTTTGTAAAGCATTCTCCCAAAACTTAACATTGGCACAATTAGATGCCAAATTATTTCTGCAAAACCTGACTTTCTGGTGTACAGTTTGTCTGCAGTGAAGATGCTGGAGATTCTCAGGATGCTGCAGCTCAGTCAGCATCTAGAAGGAGATCCAGGAGCTTTGCAGGGCACAGGATGAGCTAGCAGAGATCTCGCTGTCTGCAGGTGTCAGGCAGAAAGCAAGGAGCAGCCAGCACTCCTCTGCCTGGCATGCAGAACAAAACAGAGCTTCTAACCTGAATCCAGGTGATTTGCAAGACAGCCAGATTCCATGCAGCCTGCTGAGGATGGCATATTGCATTTTAGCAGCCACAGAAATCAGAACTGTTTTTCTGCAGCTCTGAAACTGTCAGTGAGTGGTACACAGGCTGAAGCCAAGAACCTTTCACAACTCAGTGGCCTGCATCTTTATCTTTATAAAACAGTTCATTATCTTATATCATTATAAAACAGTTTCTGCTTTTTTTTCCTCTGGAATTGACAGTCTACTTTTTTCATACTCAGCAAATTTTCTGGGAATATCCCCCTCTGTGCTGTTTTTACTGTTCTTATTAACTTTCACCATTTCTGCACCAAGTCACCTATGAAGTGGAGGAGCAGGTTAGACAGCCAAGGCACCAACGTCTGTACGCTTCAGATAAGAAAATGAAGGCAAATCAGAAAAGCAGGATAAGAAATTCTTTCTGTGCCTGTGTCTTGTTCAGTGATACTGCATTTCAACGTGCTTCAGATCAAAGCATTGTTAAAATTCTGCTGGATTTAGGCCTGACCTCCAGAACTTGATGAGCACGACAGAGCGCTTAGTGTGGCTTTGGCTTCATGTCTTTAAACTTGCAGGATTTTGCTTTTGTTCGTCGTCCTGAAGTGTTGTTATGAACCAACCTCTGGAATTCACCTTCTCACCTCTGGTCAAAAGTTAACCATGGCTGGTTACTCTTCCATGCTTGCTGTGTCCTTTGGCAGTAGAAGCTCTTCCTCCTTATTGTTCTGCATACTTTTTCTAGAACTGACCTGATTACTTGATTCCTCTATTACTTGCTTTCCTAACCAAGGTCACTTTTCTCCGTTTCCCTGAGGATTACAGCTCTGTCCAGCAAGGGGGAATTCAGCTTGGGGAAGACCGGAGAAAGGACAAGTCTTGCTGCAGATGAGGTTTTACCAGTGTTTTGTCAAGGGCTTCAAACACCCAGCTGTCTCTTCTGGAAGTGCTTTGCCTGGTCAATCTCAGGATTTATCTGTTTCTCCTCAGGGCAATTTTCTGCTGGAGTTAATGTTGATCACAAAATAAGATGTCCTTGTTTCTCCTCCTATTTCCAACTGATGTTCTGTGATTGGATTAGCTTATTTGTTTTAGAAATTCATCACCTGCTCTAATGCTGAATTCCCTGCTGTTTCCATTGTACTCAGTTTTAGGGGTTTTTAGGAGTTTTCACTTGCTGTCTTCATCGTCTTTGGTAGCGGTGTTGTCTACGAAAGTGTTCACTGTAGCTGACCTACGCAAGGGTACAGCACCTGTTGCATGGAGTTGGCTGCATGCTCCACATGTTTTTACCCAGAACAGCAGTACAGCTGACTCACTTTGTTCTCCTCCTTCTCCTGGCTGTTCAGGATGTGGTGCCGGAGGCTGGCGTGCCTGCTCAGCGTGCCTTGCCAACACACCAGACGTCACTTGCTGGGGCTGTCCTGCAGCAGGAGGACCTTCACTGCTGCTGTGGCTCGCTGGCATCACACAGCCCCAGAGTCCCTCAGCTGTGCCTGGCAGTTACACGGTGATCATTTAGGTAGGTGTGTGCTTTTAAGCCTGTTTTTGGGTCTCTGGGGGAAGAGGAGCAAGATTTTTCCTGAGTGTGTTTCTCCAGTAGTGATTCCCTTCTGAAACAACCCTTGATTTTTAGAGAGATGTGTGCTGGAATTGGCGTTTTGTGTTCCCTTTGGGAATTACCAAAAGCAGGATGCAGCAGGTTTGTCTGCTGGCAGTAAGTCTTTTATAATAAGTGAGGCAGTGCTAACTTGAAAAGTAAGTGATTCCTGAACCTTGCAGCTGAACCTTGCCCTGTCTGCCAGTTGTTCGTTATGTCTTGCAGATGGGATGGCTGGTTCAGTGTATGTCCCAGCTCTCTGCCTTGTCCTCACTTGCAGGTTTTCCTTAAAACACAAATCTTTGAAACAGAGTAGGTGAGAGCAGGCTTGTAGGCAACCTGTTTGTGTGTCTGGATGGCATGAGCAGGCCTTTTTGGTGCCAGTTGTTTCTCCCTGTGAGAATGCTGAAGGGAAAAGCAAAGAATGAGTGCCTGTGTGTGAAGTAAAAGTTATAAATGCAGTTTGAGGTCAATTTGTCCTTTGTTTTTTTGGGGGTGGGTTTTTTGGTTTTTTTTTTTTTGGACTCAGCTTAATAACTGAGACACATTTCCCCATGGTCTTTGTCACCTGCAGCTGCCCAGCCTCTGCCTTGTGATGTCTGCTGAGGCTGGTTAGAAGGCGTTGCTACTCCTAGAGTCTCTTGTAATCCTGTCTCAAAAGGGAATTGCTTAATATTTTATTCAACATAGTGGTCCTCTAAGAAAGAATATTGTTTTACCACATAAATATTGGATTTCAAAGATGGGCAGGAAGGGCTCTCCTACTGCCTGTGCCAGCTCTGATTTCCCTCTAAAGGACTTTAGGTGTTCCTAAGCTTTCTCTGGAGGGAGCAAGAAGGCGAGGACTTGAATGCTAAGTGGGAATTAGAGGTCGTGATGTTGTTTGTAATGTGTGTGTAGTTTAGAATATTTGGCTGGTTCTTACCTGTGCTTGTGCAATGAGATCTGCAGCTACATGGGCACGGGGAACCTTGTTATGTACTTATGTACAGCAGCTGCTGCGTAGCTCTGAATTTACTATCCATCGAAGAGAGAAGGTAGGCGTAGCATGTTTGTTAACCACGCTGCTTCCTGTTGCAGGATGAGACTGTGGACGTAGTAAGACAGGAGACCATGGCAAAGTCACTGCCAGTGATGCTCTTTGCTTGAGATCTTTTGCCTGGCCATCACACGATAAGCTAACTTGCACAAACAGCTGCTAAGTCGAACAGGCTCTGCATCTCCTATAAGTGGGTCATAACCTGTAGGCTCTTTGTGGCTTTTTTTTTTTTCCATACTGTTCACACCAATGCATCTTCTGTGCCCGTGACTTTTGGCAGAGCTCAGGTATGCAAACACCTTGATGCGCTTTGATTTCGTCTGGCTGCGGGACCACTGCCGCTCAGCTTCCTGCTACAACGCCAAGACAAACCAGCGCAGCTTGGACACGGCCAGTGTGGACCTCAGCATCAAGCCCAAGGCTGTCCGAGTGGATGAGACCACGCTTTTCCTCACGTGTGAGTTCCAAAGCACCTGCCCCCTGTCTGTCAATGAGCAGCCCTGGTTGGAGTGGGGCTGGTTGATAGATCCCACTCCTAAGGCTATCTTCTCCCAGGAAACCTTATCTCTAAATCAGGAGCTGTTTTGGGAGGAGGCGTAGCTGTAAGCAGGTTTTAAACACTGCTGTTCTGAGTAGAGCTGTTTCTGTAAACACGCCTCAGTCTTATTTATGTCTGTTTTTTTCCCCTCCTTACATTCTCTCTCTCCTCTTGCTTAGAGATGTGTGCATCTCCAGCATCTGTGTTGTTTACTGCAGGAATGTGGCAGGAATGCAAATAGTGAACATATCAAGAACTGGTTCACTTTTTCTTTACTCTGCTTTATTTGAACTGATGTTCCTTATCAGAACTCATTCCTTATGTCCATTCTCCCTGCTGCTTTCTTCCTTTTGCTGCAATTTGCTTTCATCTATGGTACTTTCATTTATGGTCTAGTCATCAGCGCTTGACTTTGCCATGGACTTTTCCTGTCACTTGAGAGCAAAACTACTGAAATAGAAGCTCTTGGCTCTGAATTTGGAGTTGTTGGCAATACTTTTAGTACTTGTGGCCTAAATTGAATACATTCTTTCTCTTGATACCAGCCAAAATATGATGTTGTTAGGCAAAATAAAAAGAGGAAGGACTGTCCTAGGTTGATGTTGCACTGGCTGTGATTTCGGGCTGTTCATTGCGATGACTGACTCTCCTCACGTGTCACAGGGCCGGATGGACATGTTACGCGGTATGGGCTGCAGTGGCTGGTGAAGAACAGCTACGAGGGGCAGAAGCAGCAGGTCATGCACCCACGGATCCTCTGGAATGCAGAAATCTACCGCCAAGCCCAGGTCCCCTCTGTTGACTGCCGGAGTTTCCTGGAGACGGACGAGGGGCTGAAGGAGTTCCTGCAAAACTTCCTTCTGTATGGGATTGCTTTTGTTGAGAATGTCACTCCCACCAAAGAGGACACACAAATCTTAGCAGAAAGGATCAGTTTAATCAGGTAACCAGTAGTTCCCCAGGAGGGCTGCAGACAGCTTTGTAGAACTAGGAATGATAAGCTGTTATTTCCTTTTTGTATGGAAAGGTGCTGCCCTTGTATTGTGCACTGTTGCATGTTCTGCACACAGAGGATCTGGGTCTTCTGCAGTCTCTGGCCACATGGACAGAGATGGAGTATTGCACAGTGGGATCTGGCTCCTTTTTTGGGGGGCAGCCAGAGTTACTAGGTTAGAGCTGCCTCAGGAGCATAGTGACTTTTGTGATAGTGGGACTCTGCACAGAGAAGAGTAACTGAAGGAAGTAGCCCGTCTGGGAAGACTTGAGCTTTGCAAAGAGACAGATTTCCTGTTGTGACTTGAAAGGTTAAGAGGGCAGCCCTGGCCCTGGGAGCCAAGGGAGATCAAAAACAATTTGTAACTCTTGCTAAAGAAAAATACTGGGAAATGTTTCTTCTGTGTTTGTTTAAAACACACCAGTAACATGGCAAGCCTGGGTTTGAGTTTCAAGTTTTATCCAAGCTGCAGAAACATCTTAGCTTGCCTTTGGCCATTAGAAGAGGAAGGATTCCTATTTCTGTTGATGAATAGCCACTGCAAATAGAAATTAAGGGCTCTGAGAAATATCCATCCCACATTTTCCTCCAGATCCCCTCATCCTGTAGCCCTTGAGTATTGTTTGTCTCTTTGGGCCCTTTCCTTCTCCAAACTCTGCCATGCACATTACAGGGAGAGGTCGGTGGAAACTCCAGGCCTTCTTAAGAAAGAAAGGAATTGTACCCACAGTGGGTACAAACAAATGCTAGCTGCACTCTGGTAATTTCTGATGTTGCTCAGTCTTTCCATGATTTGGTTGGGATTCATCTTTGGAGTAAAAGGAAGATCTGTATTTGTGGAGGAGAAGTAAGACTTGCTCTCTATGTGAGATGGGCGAGATGATTGCAAGAGTGGATCTGTTGTACAACAATACTGATCCCTGCAGCACTCGGGTATGATAACTGCCCACCTCTTTTGCAGGGAGACCATCTATGGCAGAATGTGGTACTTCACCTCTGATTTCTCCCGGGGCGACACTGCCTACACAAAACTGGCTCTGGATCGGCACACTGACACAACCTACTTCCAGGAGCCCTGTGGGTATGTGCTGTTGCTGGTTCACAGACACTCGGCACAGAAGGCAGGAGTGATTCACAGTGATGCAGTTTAGACTTGATTGTTTCCAGTGCTGTTGATGTGATGTAGTGTTGCTAGTCACACAGTAATTCTGGATCCGGCTTGGTTCCTTTGAAGTGAGGTAGTCTGTAGATGCCCAATGTTTGAAACTCCCAGGTCTTCCAGAATGCAGGCAATGAAGGAGGTTTTTAAGCTTCACCTTAATCGTGCTGACCTGGGCAAGTCCTCCTTGTCCACATCAGTACTGTGTTTCACTGGCAGAGTGCTCCTAGTGGTAGCCTCTGGGGAAGGAGGGAGCAGCCTGTCTTGGCACAACCTGCACTATCTGCTTCTGTCCTCCCCGGCTGCATGAGCGGCACCAGAGCGTTGTGCTGCCCTCCTATCTGCCCTCTGCGGGTGCTCTGCTTCAGACTGGTTGGGATTTGTATTTTGGCAGTAATTCAACCCTGTAGGAAGGGCTAATCTAGCCCTTCAAAGTTTACACTTGTCTGTGCTTTAAACATTTTAAAAAAAAGTTTGTAGCTGTAACATTTCCCAAATGCAAATCTGCAGACTGCTTTTCCAGTATAGCCTATGGGCCACAAGTTCTGTACCCAGTTGGAGAAAGAGAGGCAGCAGCCCTGATCCTGGTTCACACTGAAGCACAGAAGGCTTAATTTCATCCGTAATTATTATTAATTTTTTTGTTTGTTTGCTTTCATATCAGTCAAGATGGAAGTCATGAAAAGGCCCTGAGGTTGAAACTGATGGAAGCATGGTGATTTTGTAGGACTACAGAGGCCAGAAGTCATCTTGTCCAAGCCTCCTGCCTTATAGTAGGATTAGCTCTTCCTAATGAGGCTGTTCCTAATGAGTTCCTGAGCATTGTAATGGGAACGTTTTGTTAGGCAGACCTGGTAGAACAGATGAGGACCAAGTCATGGAGGTGTTCTGGCAGAACATGGACTTCAGAGCAGTTCACTTAAAGCAGGAAAAGTGCTACCTTAGTGCTACCAAGGAGGCACCTGCTTGCCTGTGCCCAGTCTAACACAGAGTTTGGGTGGCAGCATTTGTTCTGAAGCAGCTAGGTGTCAGGAGCAAAGTAAGCAGTTTCTAGTGTGCTCTGTGTAGCTAGTAGTATGTGTGTATGAAACTTAAATCCTGCCATGTGCTTCAGGTTGGCTTACTTGTTTCCAGTGAACAGCTGATTGTAGAAACCAGGTGCTTTTGTGGCTTGTGCAGTTACCTGCTTGCTTGACTTGCTCAAGAGCTCACAGAATCTCCCCAGCAATCAAATAAAAATTAATTAGTAATCAGAGCTTCAGCCTACAGTTGTACTTTAATTGAACTGCTTATTGTGAGAACTGCAGAGCTCATTAGCTATTTCTATACCTTTCTTTTGGATAGGTATATTCTAGTCTGCAGCAAAATGAAATGTATCAAGCCATGGCAGTGTGGACTAGACTAGTGGGCTAACTATTAATGCTTGCAGACTGTGGCTGTGCAGGTAAAACATGAATTTCTGGCTTTCCTGAGCACGTATCTCTGCCAGAAATCCTTTCTCAGACTGTTGAAGGCTTATTCTGAAATGTTTTAAACACTTTAAACTGTCTTTGACCTGCTCCTAAAGGAAGTGAGGTGTTTTTCAAGAAAGACGTGTTTATTTGAATGACTGCTTTCCCCACTGCATTGGGTAAAATCAACCAGATCTAACAAGTCTCAGGTTAAATTACTACAAAGGGTAGAGGAGAGAAGATCCCCAAGACACGGGAGAGTGTGCAGTGTTATCTCACCAGGCAGGGAAGAACTTACTGCCCTGAGCTGCAGGAGGAGACTATTGCCTTGAAAGCATAGAGCCACAAGGGGTTGGGCAACCTGTGCTCCTGCACTTGTGGACTGACTTGCTGTAATTATTCTGATCCTTCTGTGGATATAAAGGACAATTAGAGTCCATGTGAAAAGGTACTGGTGAGGATGTCGTTAGGAGCATCTGCCAGATCACTTGCTGTGGGGTTAAGAGGCCTCAAAGGAAGATGAGGAGATAAAGGCTGCCCTGAAAGGTTACCTTCGACTTTCTGATAAGTGAAGTTGATACACTGTGAAAACTGACAGCATGTGACTGGAGGCAGCTGCTAGCTGTCTGTTCCTAGTAATACAGGGTCTGACGTGCTTGGATGAAGGGGAAGAAAGAAACTTCAGAAATTTCAGAAAAGAGCAAAAGCTGTTCAGATGAATTGGACAGCTTCCTGCTAGGGAGGGGTATCCTTATATGGAAGCTTCTATGGGCTGTCTTCATTCCCTGTCAGGTCTTAGTGAAATAAATTGTTGTGAGACGCTTGTCACAACAAGTACCACTAGAGAGAGGTGTTGCATCTATCTGCGTTTGTCTGGGTCCACAGGGAGTGCATTTTCTTGACAGGACAGGCAGCTGAAGTCTTTCCCCTTGTGCTCTCACCCTTGCAGCATCCAAGTGTTTCACTGCCTCAAGCATGAGGGGACAGGAGGGCGTACACTGCTGGTGGATGGCTTCTATGCAGCGGAGCAGGTTCTCCGGCAAGCACCTGATCAGTTTGAGCTGCTAAGTAAGGTGCCACTGAAGCATGAGTACATTGAGAATGTGGGAGATTGTCACAACCACATGATCGGAGTTGGGCCAGTCCTCAACGTCTATCCCTGGAACAATGAGCTTTACCTGATCAGGTAACATCAGAATGAAGATGGGAGGAGATGGGGTTGGGCAGACTGTAGTGATTTTCCAGAAGACAGCTTCGATGGAAAACCATTGCATGTTTCGGGGAGGGTGGGCTGGGGACCACAAAAACACCATGCATTTCCTTTTGGGCTTTGCAGTGCGATGTTTTCAAGAATGTGTAAGAACCACTGCTGCTCTTTTGAAGTTCCAGCTTGGCTTAGCACTGACTGACTGCAATTTTATTCAGAAAAACCCTTAGTCCTGTCTGTAGCTGGTGCACCTGTTGCAGCCTGCCTCCGTTTAAATCCTGGCCTTTCCTTAATAGTGTGAAGCTACTGGCTGACCAGACAGCTAACTTCTAGATTGTGTGGGCTTTGTTTCTTGGAAGGAAAGAAGTTTTTAATATCTCGGTGCTGGTGGGCTTAGCTTTCATTCTCACCTTTTTCTCCGCTGCTGAGAAAGTGCAGGGCATCCTTCTGTGAAAAGCAGCAAAAACTGTGTTAGACTTAACAGCAAACTCCTCCTTGCTCCAAATGTTTGCTGCATAACCTCTGTACTCATCACTGTTGCCTCCTTCAATACTGACTAATCTTATGGCTCCTGAGATTCCCTCTAGAAACATGTGGCTGCACTGTGCACATGGGACCACAGAAGTGATCTTTTCTCTTCTTTCTTTCTAGATACAATAACTATGACCGTGCAGTCATCAACACTGTGCCTTATGATGTTGTGAATCGTTGGTACACTGCTCACCGCACACTCACCACTGAGCTCAGGAGACCAGAGAATGAACTGTGGGTCAAACTGAAGCCAGGCAAGGTAGGACTTTGGAGTTGGAGGCTTGTGTGTTTGGTATGGGCAGGGAAGCAGGATGCTTCTATGGATGTGCAAGCTTGTTGCCACTGAAGCTAATGTTTCCTTGTACTGCAGCTCTTCACAGCTGTTTTTGTGTGCTCTGTATTCTAGTACTGGCCTCTCCAGTCTGTATGTGTACTTAACTGTTGTGAAAGAATATTAGCTTCCAGGCAAGATAGAAGTAATTAATTCAAAAGATCTTTCCAGTCACTCTGAATGAGGACCTCCAGAGGCAGGAAGGCTGGGAGCAGTTTGTGCTCAGCCTCTGACTTCTTCCAGAAGCAGAATATCTTTTAATGGAAGCATAAGGAGCACAAGTGGGGCGCCAAATTTACTTCTGTTCTGAGGTTATATTTGAATCGTAGCATTGCTGGTGAATCACAGGAGGCCTGGGAATCTCCTCACTGTCCCAGAAATGCATTAACACATCTTGGTGTGAAGAGAATAAAAGCTCTGCCCTGAGTTGGAAAGGCTGATGCTGGGTGCAGTTTTAGAAAAGCTAGAGCTGCAGTTGTATGCTTAGAGGTGTTACAGGGTATGTTTTCATCTACCAGCTGTGCCTGCTTGAAGAAGTTTTATTACTGCAGGGTCTGTATTCAGCTTGGGCCCCAAAAGTGAAAGTGAAGCAGAAGTATTCATGTCAGAAAGCCCCAGCATATCTGTGTTCTCAAGGATGTCTGGGGAAATGACCTTAGAGGCTGATGGTGGCCATTTTCTCTTGTTGGTGAACTATGACCCAACATTTTTGGCAAAAAAAAAAAAAAAGAAAAATTGGAAGTACATTGCTAGGTGTTGTTTTACACTATGGTTAGCAGCAGAGCTGCTGGCATCAGGTGCAACATACATCCTAGATCACATCAAAAATCGACCTGTAGTCTCATGTGCTGTGTCTGACAGCGTTGAACTGGGAGGATAGTGGTGTATCCCTACCTACTCTTCCAGAGAGGGATCTCCAACCTGTCACGTCAGGGGCTCCTGGCTCAGTGTGACACTCACCCTGCTCTGTTGGCCTTTCTTCTTCCCCTGCAGGCACTGTTCATCGATAACTGGCGTGTGCTGCATGGGCGGGAAGCCTTCACGGGGTACCGCCAGCTGTGCGGCTGCTACCTGACGAGAGATGATGTGCTCAACACCGCTCGCCTGCTGGGGCTGCAAGCTTAGCCTGCTCATCTGCTGTGCGGAGGCAGACAGAGCTCCGTGCTGGTGCGTCACCACAACCACGTTGCACATACCTCAGACACCTCCGCCCTCTCTGAGCAGTTCTCTCTCTGCCCGTGTGGGAGAGGGAGCAGGTGGAAGCCAAAGGTTATGGGAGCTTTATGGGACTGTGTTCTGCCTTCCTCTGAGCTTGGTCAGCTCTCGCTGTCTCTGCACTCAGCCTGGCCTTCTCAGCTGGCCGCTTTGTCTCGGCTCCAGTGAACTGGGGCTAATCACACTATGAGAAGTGCTCCTCCAATCAAGTGCCTTCAGAATCTGAAATCTGTTTCTGCCTGTTGTTTGGTCTCTTATGTCAGTTACCACATTTGTTTTTTTTGGCGTAACAGAGCAGAATGGATATATCTGGGATCTTGTTTTACCTCAGGCCAGCTGCCTTCTAGAGAAAAAGGAAGTCACTGTTGAAGGTGCCACTACTTAAACTGAGGGCTGTTGGCATGTATCTGTGACTTCTTTCCTGTTAAACAAGCTGTGTACCCCTATCTGACAGGCTCTGCTACAAGCAGTGCTGCTTGAGAGTTGGCCTGGAAAGTCAAGCTCATATAGCTAAGGTACCTCTAAAGGTTTAGGTAGACAGAAAAGGGAAAGTAGTGAGATCTGCACATTGGAAAGGAGAGGTGGCTTTGGATGAGGAGTGTGCTTCTCCCATTTCCTTCAGTAATGTAATGTTGAACTAGTGGTCTGTCTGCCTGTTACGCTGTACTTCAGTTGAGGGTGAAGGCTCATCAGCTACAGTGTTTGACACGTTTCCCACTCTGCCTGCTCTTCTGGCTTTCTTGAAGAAGGAATTTTTGTTAGAGCATCTTTACACTGGCTGCTGGATGAGGCTGGCTATTTTTTCCACCAGATTTTCCTGCATATGAAGGTAATGAACACAGAGATATCTTTCAACTCCTGGTAGCAGGAAGGTAAATTTGTAGAGTGGCACTGAACAACCACAGTGGAAATCTCTTTTTAGGTTATATTTTTAATTCTTCCGTATTTTTGGGGGAGGTATTTGCTCTGGTCTGACTGGACCCTAAAACATGGTCCTGTTCACTTCTGGTTTTCATGTATGAGGAAGATGCTGTTATGCCTAAGGTATAAATGGGGTGCAGATGCCGAACTTGCTGCCTTCGTTTAATCTAAATATTGAATGTATACATCTTGGTGTTAGGAAGCACTCTTAAAAGCTTCTGTTCCTCTGGACTTATGCTGTCATTTGCAGTGAGACACTACTCCATCAGGAGTTGAAAGGGTTTCAGAGTGAAGGCTGATGTGAAGCTGTGTATTGGAGGATACGTAAAGAAGTGAAACATGAGCAATGGCAGCAGGCTTGAAGGTGAGCTGGCTTCTGTCAAGTGTGTCTTCCAAGGCTTGTGAACAGCCTCAGACATGGGCAGGCACTTGAGGTTTCCTATAGGCTAAGCCAGTGGGTTCCTCAAGCAGCCTGCATCATGCATTGCTTCTGTTATTTCTTTTCCAAATATTTGGGTTAAAGGTTCTCCAGCATAACTTAGGTGTGAAGCTTTGCAGATCTTCATTAACCACACGGAAGTAGCAAGCCCCTGTGGTTACACCTGCTTCTCACACAACCCACGTGCTCCAGGGTTGCTCCACTTTGTACTTCTGGGTGAAGCTACTACCTGGAACATGCTGGGGAGAGGTCATGACAAAATCATCTCTGTGTTAATTGACCCTGGGAGGGGGACAGAGGAACCTGATCAGTGATTCAGAACATGTTAGAGATTTCTGAGCTCTTCTTGTCTCCTTGTGCTCATAGGATCAGAGTAAAAGCACTTGGGTTAATGTGGGACTCATTGCTTAGTTGATGAAATGAGCTTTACTTCCCAGTTTTATCAGCTGCAAGCCAAAAATCTGCCAGTACTCTGAGCTGGAGAGTGCAGGTCTATGGCTAGCACAAGGGAGAACTGACTCAAAATATATTGACAACTGTAGTGATACAGGTGCCTTTCTGATGAAGAATGTGGTGATCGTAGCTCTGTCTCCCACTGAGCAGTGTGGAGCTGCCAAGAGCTGTGGTCTTCAGCCACCAGCCTCCTTTTTGAGCCATCTCCAAGCCAGCACACTCCTTGAGGTGATCATGTACTGTGTTTTGGGGGGACATTTTTCACCATGAATGTAGCAGAAACACATTTCTTCATAGGTGTTGTTCAATTCAGTTTAGCCATTTCATAAGAAAATGGGGAGGGAGCTTTGTTTAATCTCGTGCTCCACCTCTTCCTCGCTTCCTGAGTGGACTGTTATTCCTAAGCATCTTGTGATCATCAAGGCTTTATTTGTAGAAACAGGGCTTCTTGGCAACTGCAGTCTGTCTGATATGGACATCTGTTGCGTCGTGTTATGGAACAGGTGGTTTGCTCTAATGGTATCAGATCAATTTTTGTAATTAAGCTTTACCAGTTCTTTCAGGCAATAAATGGTGAACTGCTTCTTTCTCCCTCCCACCACACAAGGGCTCCACTGTATGTGTTTTTGAAACATTTCCCAAAAGTAAAAAATGAAGTGATGACGTACTAAATGAATTATAAAGTGGTCAGGTTACAAGACGTCCATGCCTAGCAATCATGAACTGGATAAGTGCATTACCCATCAAAGTTGGAATAAATCTGAGAAGGGTAAATCAACGCATTGCCTTTGGCTTTTTGTCATTCATCCTTTGCACTGGCCACACGGTGGCAGACGATGCATGGAACAGCATGAAAAGTCAGTGTTAAAAACTCAGTATCAAGTCCCAGTATCCACCCGTGGCTGTAGGGCTGGTGCTGATTCTTTCTCTTCTGCTATGCTACACCCATTTCTCTTGAAAAGCTCAGGGACTGCTGGTCAAACATCTGCAAGACAGTGGATATTTTTAAAGAGCAACAGGACATGACGTACATTGTACTGAAGGTGATGGTGAAGGGAGCAGAGATGTGAGGGCACACAGAGGGGATGGAGGGAGCGTGGGGAAAAGTGGGTTGGTTTTGAAGGTGTGGGGAGGAGGAAGGAATCTGATCTAAGCATAGGCTAGGGGGAAATAGAGCTCATCAGGTGGCTGTTGGAAGGCAATGTCTACCCTGAGGCCCTCAGTTCCCACCCATGTGTGTCCCAAGATTCACAGTTTGGTTTCTCAGGGCCCAGCTCTCCCTAACCTTGTGTACCTGAAGATTCCCACATTGCACATGCACCTTCATTTATCTCTGCTTGCCCTCTGGTCCCTTCTAATGCTTCCTTTTGCCCTGCAGTGCTCCCCTGTGTCCTCTTTTGGAGTCTTGTCCCCTTGGAATCATTCAGGTCTGAAGAGACTTCAGTCCTTCAGTGAAACCAAGGTCTGCTCCTGGAAAATCCCTTTTGTTTCTGCACTTGCCATGCTCAAATTCTCAGCTAGGCTGAAAAACATTTATGTTGTTATCTGCTCATTTCTTTCCTTTTTGGATATATGAAATACAAGCTATTTTAGTAGACTCCTTCAGCTAAGTAATCTGAAAAAGATAATTTCAGTTAGAAATTACCTTAATTCAACACTAGTTCAAACCAGAACTATCAGGATCGTGCAGACAGGAATGGATTTTCTGTGGAAGTGGGAAAATATGAAGTCACAGGGAAAAAAAAAAGTGGGAGCTAATTAATATTCATCAGATACCATAATTTTGACAAATGGCAGAGGGGAAATTCTTTGTCATTGACCTCTGAGACATGCAGGAAGGGTGGGCTGCTGTTTGTAGCATGTAAAAATAACGTGCAGACTGCACAGTAAGCATTACAACAACCAACTATCCTTGAGATATTTCCCTTCACCTCCTGCTGTACCTATGTTCTGTAGGTTTTTAGGTAATCTGTAGTAACATGGATGTCTCTGATTTAGTAACTCAGAGCAGCATGTGAGTAGTCTCTCTTCAGTGGGCTCTTTGTACCTGTTAATTTTGCTGCATGTCTCTTTTCAGCCTTTTCTCTTAGAACTTTGAAGACCTCATTAGACAGAGAAATTACTTTTAATTTATGGATGCACTGCTAATGGGAAACATCCATTTCCAGTTCACTATTGAAAGCACGGATCTAATGTTAAGCAAAACAAATTCATTTTGACCTAAAGAGCATGGCAGCCCTCCTTTAGCAATTTAGTTAATTGTGTGGCGTGGTGTAGTGTAATTGCTTACAATAGAAAAGCTCACAGGAATGATTTGGAAAGGAAGGGATAATTCTGCATGAAGAGTGATACCAACCTATCCCCAAACTTCAGCTGCACAAGACAGTTGTACCTATTCCTCAGTCAAAATTGTTTTTCCCTTCAGCTTCTAAATACAATGGTAAATTCTAAGTGACATCTAAAGTCCCAGACATAACTCAGGTAGTAGGACTGACCTGCCCCTTTTATACACTGCTCTGCCTCCCCAGTGTTTGTCCTTCATGGGTTCCTTCTGTTCTCATTATCCCACGTGGCACTGAAAAGGGTCCTTGTCCAGACACCTCTAAAGAAGCAGATGTTCTCCTTCCACACATCTCCAGTGGGAATTTCCTTTCTTTCTTTTCCTCCACTTCTTAATATATAATTAAAAATACGTATTGATCAGTAGTACAGGTTGCAACATGTGAAGAAACAGGTGAGAAGAACAAAGTCGCAGAATCATTAGGGTTGGAAAAGACCTCTAAGCTCACCAAGTCCAACTCTCTCTCCATCCCCACCACGTTCACTAACCTATGGCACTCAGTGCCACATCTCCATGTTTCTTGAGCACCTCCAAGGACAGTGACTCTGTGACCTCCTTTGGCAGTCTGTTCCAGTGCCTTGCTCCTCTTTCTGACAAGAAATTCTTCCAAATATCCAACCTGAGCTTCCCATGGTGCAACTTGAGGCCATCACGTCTCACCCTATCGCTGTTACCTGGGAAGAGGCCAACCCCCACCTCACTGCAGCATCCTTTCAGGCAGTTGTAGTTGTCCCCGAGCTCTTGGGGAACCCTGAAAGCCTATGAGAGGTGGCTCTATTGATCAGGGCTTGGTCTGAATTTCATGGCTTGCAGCAAATGCTTGTATGTAGATTTACTGAGGAGATAGAGAAATGCAGAAGATGGGGACAGAAGACAGCAGGTTTTCTGCTCTGTCCCCACTGCTTACGTGTCATGGTGTGTGCAGTCAGCCCTTCAATTCTTGACTTCAAGCCCAAGGCAGGAAGCTGAAGCAGGGGTGTGCTGTGGTTAGCGTGGGCTGTCAGAGGGCTGTGGTCAGCGTCACCCTGATGAAAGATGCGATGCTGCTCACAAAGGGCTTTGCATCTTATCCCACCACATCTCATCACAGGAAGTAGCTGCTGCCTGTGATGGTGAAGTGTTTGAGCAGATGTGCTGCTGCATCGGCAGAGTCTTCTGCTCCCCTCCAGCTGTTGGGGCAGATGAAGCCTTTGCAGGGGCAGATGAAACATTATTTGATTAAGAAAGAAACGTGAGCTTTGCTTGATCCTAAAATTGGCCAAGCTGAGCTCCCAGAGCTTGCAGTGTCACCTCTTTCACCAAGTGAGAAACACCCCTGGGGTGCAGCACAGTGAACAGGAGCAGGATTTGGCCCATCTGTTCATTCATTTCCCGACACTGTTTTCTTTATGTCATGTTCTGAAATACCTGCAGAAAGCTGGCAAAAAATGATTTCATCTGCGTTAACATGAAGTACACATTGAACCAATACTGATGCTTTTTTCTCAGAGACATACAAGAACGGGCTACGTTATCTTCCTGCAGAGGTTTAGGGAAGGAATAAATGAGTGTATCTTGAATTAACAGATCATGTGTGCTCAAGCCCTCGAGGTCTTCCAGTTTAGCTCATATGGAAAAGCTCACATGGTCCACTGGCTGAGCTGCCCAAAAACAGCCTGAAGGCCCAAGCAAGGCTTTGCATCACCAAGTCTGCAGCAGATCAGCTGGACAGAGGATGCACATGGGTTTTTCCTATTTTACTTTTCAGATTTAATTTTAGTACAATTAGATTGCACGTGTATCTGTAACTGTTATATGCTTTGAAAGTTGCAAGCATACATGTAAGCTGCAAATGTTGCTGTCACCATCATTTTCACCTGACTTCTTTGGCACCAGCCCTCCATCCTCCCCAGTGAAGACCTCTGATTCATCCTTACCCATCCAGCACCCCTGGTCTGACTGCACCCCCAGCACTGAGCTTCAGTCTTTCTTGGCTAGCTGTGCCCAGCAGCGTTAAGCAGAGCACATTTTCCTCCTTCTGAGCTTCTCATCGATGAAATAACAAGTCTTACAGTGCTGACAGTCGTGCTACTGTCAGCATCTGCAATTTGATTTTAGCTATGTGAAAGCTGTGGTTGAAAAGTACCAACCCAAGCAGTGCAATGGTGAAGATGGGGCAGGACCTGTTACCCCGAGCATACCCCAAACCCACGGAGATCACATGCAACCTGAAGTGCAGGAAGTCCCAAAAACTGTGATGAATCTTGAAAATCTGTGAGCAAAGAGCTGGGCTCCGTGAAGGTGTGAAGGGGTGTGAATTTTCTGATTGTCACTGAAGAGTTGTTCTTTAAGCTGCCAGTGCTGTGGCTTTGAAGTCCCCCATCACAACTTCCCACATTTCCTTCCCAGATGAGTGACCCAACCAAGTGAGAATCACAGCCCAGTGCTGCATGGGCTATGATTTGTTCTTGGACACAGCAAATCACTTCCATTGCCCAAGAGACATTGAGAATGGAAGAAAAAGAGGTGTGAAGGGGGTACTGCATGCTGAGGGCAGGATCACCGTGGAGATCTGGTCAGGTCTTCCAGCCAGGACTAGAAGGTGCCCTTGAACCTTGTGGAGGCCATGTGCATCCCTCCCTGGGCCAAGCCTTTCCCACCATGCTGGATCTCCATGGGAAAGACCAAGCCCTGGTCTGATGATGAGACTGCTCTGATTTCTCCTACCTGGGAGCCAGCAACCAAGGCAGTCTCATTAAAAAATATGAATATCCCGTCAGGTGAGATATAATAGAATAGTAGAATCATGGAGTAGTTTTGGTTGGAAGGGACCTCCTCTTTAGAGCATGTGTTTCCAACCCCCTTGCCTTGGCAGGCACACCTTCCATATCCATGCATCTTCCTCACCTGTCATGAAAGCTGAATTGTGGAAGAAATCCATGCAGAGAAATAAATGGAGAAGGATGGAGGCCATCGCCTGTGGTCCTGATCATCGAAGCCATGTGGTCAGGACTCCAAACCAACCTCTCTATTTCACCTACATACCACTGCCTTTGAAACAGAGCTGCTGGTTCTGGACTTGCATCTCAGACCAACGATTCTGGAGAACACTCCTAGGTCTTTTCTACTTCTTGACAGTCTGACTCTTGTTTCTGCCTACAAGGAGGAAGTTTTTCTCTTGCTACTGAGAGGTTCTTTCATCTGCCCGTGGAGACCGATGTTATTTATAGTTCCTAAAAATAAAAATCCTCATTAATTCCCATTTTCTGTTTATCACTGCATTATGCTTTCTTCAACTCCTTTAAGGCACAGAGCCTCGTTCTTGTTGCTCACAGTTTAAAGGGAGTGCGATTTAGACCCTGCTCACTTCCATCGGGGTCCTCCTGTCACCTGGGATTCCCCCCACACAACACGCAGTG